GTCAGACAAGTTTATTTCAATTTCCAGTAGTACAACTCGGATACAGTCAGACACATTAGTTTGTCAATTTTCAATAAATGTATATGGGATAAGTATCAGTCAGACAAGTTTTTTCCCGAATTCTTCTAAATTTTTTCCACCAGTAGTAGAAGATGGTTTTAGTCAGACAACAAGTATTTAATTTTTAAGTAGCACGAGTCAAATACAGCTCAGAACATAATATTTCCTTTAGTTTCAAGGAAAAATAGTTTATGTAAATTTTAGTCGTAACAAATTCTTTTTCGAACTATTTTTGATAATTAGTAAAGTTTCCACTGAAGTAGTAAAAATCAGCTTGTAGTCAGACAAGTGCAAGTGATTAGTTGATTGTAGTAAAAAAATTCTAAAACAGTCAGACATATTTTTATTTTGTCTAGTTTCTTTAATAGTTGTCAAAAAGTACGCAAAAGTTAGACAGTTTTACAAATTTTATAAAGCTAATTTTCTCCCAGTAGTAGAAGTCAATTTTAGTCAGACACAAACTTTGGAATTTATTCTAATTTGCTTACGAGTAGAAAAGACAATTTCAGATCAGACATTTTCCTTGTAATTTCTCTGAACTTTCTTAACAGTAGTAAAAGACAATTTTAGTCAGACTGAATGTTATAATTCTGAACGTTTATAATTGGATTGCCAGTAGTAAAAGGAAATTCCAGTCAGACATGTGTGTGACTCTCTTATTAAACCTTCTAGAACTAGAATATATTTTTTGGAAATGATATAAAGTTCTTTAAACAAAAAATAATGTTTTTTGAAACAAAATTAAGAATTTTGAACTAAAATTATGTTTTTTCTTTTATATTATATTCTTTCTTTTACTTTTGCTACAATACAGTGAAATGTTTAATGTTTAATTTTTTTTAAATATTAATTTTTTTTTTTAATGAATCGAAATTATTGCCAAAATGCATTTTGAGATTACATTGAAACGTTTCTTGACCGAGAATGCTAAATCTCCTGAGAATTGAGTGGCTTCAATTCTATGAATCAAATTATTATCGACGTTTCCAGTAGCCGCAACGGAAATGTAGTTGACCATGGTTTAATTTTCTTTGAGGTAATTCTATTCCACACCTCAAGTTTTGATCAGAAATGGGAACGCTATCCACTATACCTTTATCATTATAATTTCATATCTTGGTAACTAAGTAGAATCTTAGTTTAGATATTCGCTTCTCTGAAATTAAGGTCCTAAGACATATATCTCTCCTTATATACATATAGTTATTCAAATCCCTTTAATCAATTTTTTTTTCTGGTTTCTATCAATTCCTTTTTTTTTACCCAATCATCTCTCTTGATTTACATAATTTTTTATTTTATATTATGAGAATCAAGTCATGATTCTGATTTTTTTCAAGTTGTCTCAGTGTATGATTAAAAAAAAAGAAAGAAAAAAAAGGAAAAAGTCTCCAAACAAGAGCGAGTTTTTAGTGGAAAACTTTTAATCTCAAAACTCTCGGGGAAAATTTCATTACTTTTCTCTCTCCGTCAAGTTATGAAAATACGGAGTATGAATAGTTTCGAGATTGGAATATACATGGATTATAAATTTTACTATCGATCATGTAACTTCCATTTTTCATTTCCTCCCACTAAACTTTTTGTATTTCGCAATTTTCAATCCAATATTATTCGTTATATTGCTTTTACGTTTTTACATTCCGTTTTTCTCGTTTCTCTAATTTTTATTCACTTTTAATCTTTTTTTTTGTTTTTTTATTTTTATTTATTTTTTGGTTTTAGTTTTGTTTTTTGGAGGTTTTTATTTGACGATTCTTTTATTTTTTTTTGTTTTTTAGTTTTACTGATATTCTATTTTTAGTATTTTTATTTATTTTTTTCTTTTATATTTATTTTTTGTGTGTATAAACTGTATCTATTTTTTTCGCAAAAGTTGAAGATATAATTGAAAATATATACTTTTTTCGAAATATTCTTCTTCGGGAGAATTTTTCTGCAACTTTTTATTTTTTTTTTAGAAAAATTCGTTACTTACTTTTACTTTCTCTATTCTTTTCTTCGTTTTTTTTAATTTCTAATTCAGCAAAAAAGTTAAGAAAATACTAAAAAAGGACTAACGTCCTTTCTTATTATTTTCTTAACTATTTTTTATTTTGATCTATTTCTCAAGTTCTCTCTCCTTTTTATTTTGACTACTACTTCTAATTTTTTTATTTTAATTTTTTCCTTACTTTATGTTTCTGTTTTTTTTTTTAGTTTTTATTTATTTTTATTATTATTTAACCTTAATTTTTGTTTGCACAACCAAAACTATGCATTTTTCGAGACTTCTTTTTTTGGGAGAAAATTTTTTTCTAATTTTTTATTTTTCTTTATTTTTTTACTTTTTATTTTTATTCTTATTATTTCACGTTTATTTCTATTTGCATAAATTATAATAAAGTATGTAAATATTTTCTACAAAGATAATCAAAAATATGCATTTTGCAAAAATTCGTCTTTGAGGGAATTTTTTATTGTAACTTTTTATTTTTTCAAATTTCTTATTCCTTTGTCCTTTTTTTCATTTCTTTCTCGACTCTCAAATTTTTTAATACCTTGTTAGTCTTTTTTTATGTTTCTTTATTTTTTTATTATTATTTCTTAATTCTTTGTCATTTTTATACAAATTTTATTCAAAGATAATCTGAAATATGCATTTTCAAAAAATTCGTTTTTGGGGGAATTTTTTATTGTAACTTTTTTTCTAAATAACATATTCCTTTGTCGTTTTTTTCATTTCTTTTTCGACTCTCTAATTTTTTATTCCTTGTTAGTCTTTATTATGTTTCTTTATTTTTTATTATTATTTCTTAATTCTTTGTTATTACTTTATTTTTTTTTTATTTTTCCATTCTTTATTCTTTTTCACAATTTTTTCTTCACTGTTGGGCCTGTTTTATTAGTTTCTTAAAAGTATTTTTGATATTTCTTTTTTGATTCTCTAATTTTTTAATCCGTTATTCTTTTTTTGTTTCTTAATTTTTTTATTGTAATTTTTACAATAATTTTTTTAATTTTTTGTTATTACTTTACTTTTTTTATTTTTGTTATTATTTTCCCTTTATTTATGTTTGAAAAATTTTGTCAATTTTATACAATTTTTTTTTCAAAGATAATCCAAAATATGCATTTTCAAAAAATTCGTTTTTTGGGGGGAATTTTTTATTGTAACTTTTTATTTTTTTAAATTTCTTATTCCTTTGTCGATTTTTCACTTCTTTTTTGACTCTCCAATTTTTTAATCCTTGTTAGTCACTTTTTTATGTTTCTCTATTTTTTTATTATTATTTCTTAATTCTTTGTCATTACTTTATTTTTTATTAGTTTTTTAAAACTAATTTTGATACATCTTTTTTGATTCTCTAATTTTTTATTCCGTTATTCTTTTTTTGTTTCTTAATTTTTTTTTATTAAGTTTATTAATTTTTTTTTTATTACTTTACTTTTTTTATTTTTGTTATTATTTTCCCTTTATTTCTGTTTGAAAAATTTTGTCATTTTTATACAAATTTTTTGATATTTCTTTTTTCATTCCCTAATTTTTTATTCCTTTATTCTTTTTTTGTTTCTTAATTTTTTTATTGTATATTAAATTTTTGTTATTATTTTACTTTTTATTTTTGCAATTATTTTCCCTTTATTTCTGTTTGAAAATTTTTTTGTCAATTTCAGAAAAAATCTCTTTTTGCGAATATTTTCGCCAACATTTTATTTTTTTTTTAAATATTTTTTTTTTATTTATTTTTTATTGGATACAATTTATCAGAGTTAAATAAAGAAGAGAGTATTTAAAGAATAATGATTTAGTTTTCACGAGTATACGCCAAGTTTATGTATAGAACATACATATATACACGCATTCAGGAAATGTGTGCTGTGGTTTTGGGTCGAATTATTTGGCAGATAAACCTTATCAATTGCAGTTCCCACGAGATTTTGAGATCAAAGGAATGTAACGGAATAAAGGCCAATTGGTAAATTCAATTTCTGAGTGATGCTGGAAAATCCGAAGCAAGAAACATGGACCATTCGAGTGAGTCTATATGGTCAGACGTCGATGCCTAGATCTATATATATATATATATATATACAATATATGTATACATATCAACCTCTTTACTGTATCGGTAGTAAATATTTGTTTGAAAACTAATTTGCTTCCTGTTCGTATTATCAACCACGAACATGGCCTTTCGAGTCTCAATTTATATTACAGCCTCATCGTATCAGTTTTCTTCCTTTTTTTTCTTCTTCTTCTTCCACTGCTTCCACTTCTTTTTAATATGATCTTATCAACAAATTCTCGTGAGAGCTCATCATATATAAATGATTGAATCTTCTTTTCGAATAAACTAAATATATACTTTTAAATTACTGGTAAAAAAAATTGGATTTTTTCCTGCAGGAAAAACTTTGATAATTTTCAGAGTGAAATTCTTGGTGTAAATTAAGATTTTTTTCTAAGTTAATTTAATATGAAATAAAAGTATTTTGTTGAGCGTAGAAAAATATTTTTGGTACAATCAACTTTTAATTAAAGATTTTCGAACGTTCAAAAGATATTTTTTCACTTAATTTGTATTTAGAAAAAACATTTCGTATATTAGAAAATTGTTTTTTTTTAATTTTTTTCTTCTTTGTATAGTAATTTTGAGAAACAATTTAAATAGAAGAAAAAGTTCGTTCATTCGAATTTTAAAACTGAAAAGATTTTTATTTTCATTAGTTTAATAATTTTTTTTTTCTAATTTCTATGATTTGAAATTTTTCTTTTTATTAAAGACTTTTTTTTATATTTTATTAAAATCATTATTAAATTTTAATAAATAAATTTTCTTTTTAACTTGGTTGATTGGAAGTTGATTGGATGGTAAAATATTTTTCCAACGAACAAAAAAAAAATGTTCTCTTCAATGAATTCGAAATCTTATGGTTTAATTATTTTCTTGTTTCAGATGGGGACAAAGGAAAAGATGACAATTAGTGTTTAGTGATTAAAAAAAACCCCCCTTCTTCGAGAAAAAATGACTTAAATAACAATGACTGGGAAAATGATGAGAAATGAAAAAAGAAGAAATAGTACACACAGACAGAGAACAATTTCTTAACATCGTAAAGGGTCTTGGGAGTTCTTGAAATCAAAAAAAAAAAAAAAAAAATGACACTATCAAAAGAACAATGCCTCCTGGGGGAGTTAAAAACATTTACCCACCTATCGACAATCTCTCGAACGAACAAGATCTGAAAACATAATCAATTACATCCTTTTTTATCCCAAAGAGAAAGGAGCCACACAAAAAAAAAGTTTCCAGATTTCCAATCTTATTTCTTGTTTTTTTTGTTTTGATTTCAGTTTCTTTTCGTGAAACCGCAGACAAAAACGAGTCAATTTTATAGTTGATTTTTTTTTACTTCCCTTTTTCTTTACGAAGCGGAATGGTTGTCGATCTTTGTAAGACGTTATTAAATTTTAATCGTGCTTTCATTTTTGTTATGGTGAGAGAGGTTTTCTTTTGAGAGGAGGAAAAGAAAAATTATCGAGAATTGGAAAAAGAAATTATACACATAGAGGGAGAGAGAGAGAGAGAGGGAGGGGAAAAAAGGAAGGAAAAGTGAGAGAAAGAGGGAGAGTGAGAAGAGAAATATAAAGTGGAAAAACGTGACAAGTGGAAATACACGATGAGTTTTTTTAACTCACTACATCAATACGTCAGCGACAGTGTCGCAAGTCTCAACTTGGGTACGAAGAGATTCTCATTTAGTCGAGAAGAATCCACTACTGCCGGGGCTGGAAGAAGTGGGTCCACTGGGAGTGTTACCTCGACAACTAATTCCACCACGACGACCCACCATGGATTTCCTAAGGTCAGTTACAAGGTCTTTCGGTTTTATTTTTTACCTTTTAAAAAGATTTACTTCTAAACAAGCGTTGCCGATATTTTTTATGTGCGCTGTGACAAATTTTACGGGAGATAAAAAGAAAAACCCGCTAAAGCACAACGAGGAAAAAAAATCCTTTAAAAAATTTACTGCAATTATTTTTGTTTAGAATTTTTTTTTACTGCAATTTATTTACAATTTCTTCTTAATTTCATCCTTATAGCATAGCGGTCAATAAAATGACCATTATTGGCCTTGGGCAATAATGGGCACTTTATTGACCGCTGACGGGTGAATAAAGTACTCATTATTACCCTAGGGCAAAAAATACCATTATTGCCCTAGGGTAATAATGCGTACTTTATTGACCTGCAAGTGGTGAATAAAAATACCATTATTTCCCTAGGGAAATAATGAATACTTTTTTGACCTGCGAGCCGTGAATAAAAAATACCATTATTGCCCTAGGGTAATAATGCGTACTTTATTGACCTGCAAGTTGTGAATAAAAATACCATTATTTCCCTAGGGAAATAATGAGTACTTTATTGACCTGCGAGCGGTGAATAAAAAATACCATTATTGCCCTAGGGTAATAATGCGTACTTTATTGACCCATGAACGGTGAATGAAAATATTATTTATTCACCACTTGCAGGTCAATAAAGTACGCATTATTACCCTAGGGCAATAATGGTATTTTTATTTACCTCTCGCAGGTCAATAAAGTGCTCATTATTACCCTAGGGCAATAATGGTCACTTTATATCCCCCAGGGTAATAATGAGTACTTTATTGACCTGCGAGTGGTCAATAAATTTTAATTTCAATTTAATTTATTTTTCTATATGAAATTAACAAATAACTTAATTTCTTTTTAAACGTTCCTAAAGTTTCGAACGAGAATATTTTTTTAAATTTTAATTTCGTTTTTATAATAAAATATTTTTGTTTTACATCCAGATGAAAGTTTTTGTTGATTAAATAGCTCGTTTGCTTGGATTTGTTTATTCTTTGGTTGAAAATTAATTTTTCTTTTCATTCGAAAAAAATTTTTTAGACTAAAAAAAATACATTTGATTCAAAGAAAATTCATTTGATTGAAAAAAGGTAGTTAATGCAAATTGAATTTATTTGTATAAAAAGAAATTTATTTTGTTCAAAAAGAATATTTTATTTTTATATTACTTTTTGGTAAATTTTAAGTTTATTTAAAGAAATTTTTTCAACTTTACTTTTACTTTATTACTTTTTGCTTTTACTTTATTATAACAAGATATTATTTAATTTTAATTAAAATTTAAATTTAAACATTTCTCTTCAAAAACGAATTTGGAGTATATTTTTTTGCATTTAGAATATATCGTTAGCATTTAGAATATATTTTTGTGGAATTTAAATTATTTTTTTAGCATTTAGAATATGTTTTTAGCATTTAAAATTTGTTTTCACTTTTAAGTGTTGGTTGAAACTTGAAAATTTGTTTAAAATCTACTCAATCTATTATATATTTGAAGCAAATAGTATTTTTCATTGATTCAAGTGAAAATTATAGAATAATAATTATATACTTGATGAAAAAATATTTTATTCATAAATTCGGTCATTAAAAACATTTATTGAGTAAAAAATATTTAGTTAATAAAAATATGTAGGTGACAAAACATATTTATTATTTTATTCGATAAAAATTAAATAAATGAATATTAATTTGGTAAAAATTAAATATTTAATCGATAAAAAAATAAATATTTAGTTAATAAAAAATATTTAGTTAATGAAAAATATTTAGTTAATAAAAAGTATTTAGTTAATAAAAAATATTTATTTGATAAAAAATAAATATTCATTTGAGATTAGTCAAGTAATCCATTATTTGAATCAAATAAATTTTTTTATTGAGTGCAGAAAAATGTAATTCTTGTGGAGTAAATTTTTCACTCGTAAATCAAAGGTTAAGAATTTCACTTTTTTCTTCTTCTTCATTTTTTGCTGTAATTTACAAAAATTATGGACCATAAAAAATAAGAGACGTTAAATTTGTTGAGAAAGGTATTAAAAATTTCTTTTAAAATAGAAAATAATGGAACAAAAATAATTTATAGAATAAAGGAAGTTAATAGAAAAAAAAGTAAAATAAAAAAAATGGAAAAAGGTAAAAGGTGAAAGTAAATAGAAAATTTTCTAAAAGGAGGGATTTTTATAAATTAATGATAAGTTAATATTTCATTTCATTTAATTTATTATAAATGAATTTATATTTATTATAAATATTGAAGTAAAAAAGTAGTTTCTTGGTAAATTTTTGGTTGAAACTTACAAAGAACAATTACAACAACAAAATTCAAAATAAATGATAATGGAAGTTTCAAAGAAAAATTTACGAGAGAAATTGTGATGAAAAATATGGAGAAAAAGTTTTAAAGAAAAAAACAGGGGAAAATTTTTGAAGAAAAATGTAGAGAAAAGTTTTTTGAAGAAAAATACAGAGAAAAAGTTTTAAAGAAAAATGGCGAAAAAAATTTTGGAAAAAGAATGTAGAGGAAAATTGTAAGGAAAAATATAAAGAAAAAGTTTTAATGAAAAATATGGAAAACAATTTTGGAAGAAAAATGTAGGGAAAAGTTTTTATTTAAGAAAAATATAGAGAAAAAGTTTTAATGAAAAATATGGAAAACAATTTTTGAAGAAAAGTGTAGGGAAAAGTTTTTTTTTGAAGAAAAATGTAGAGAAATGTAGTTAAAGAAAAATGTGGAGAAAAGTTTTAAAGAAAAATTTTGAAATAAAAATTCCTTTCCCTTGCAAATTTGTATTTAGCATAAATTTTACAATTACATTCGTTTTTTTTTATTTTTGGTGGAACTTCGAAATTCGACAATTGGGAAAATGGAGATAAATTCAACTGTATTTTTTTTTGTTGGGTTTTTTTTTAAAGGTCGTACCACCCCCTGGGACAACGACGCCACCACATGCTCGTTCTCTATCGTCTCGTCGACGAACTCTCGAGTCGACTTTTGTTCCTGGACTGTCGGTACATCCAGCAGCAGGCGGAGGGGGTGGTCAATTGTCCCCCCGACGAGTAGGCTCTTTTAGACGAAGTAAAGGATCCACAGATCGACCTCCATTAATGTTCTGCCGTAGAAGACCATCATGGCCAGAAGTTGACAACGAGGCAACTTCCGGGTGAGTGTTTATCTTTTTTTTTTTTTGTTTTATTTCCCTCTCTTGTACTTTTAAACTATTTTTTCTTTTTCTCGTATGTACGTATATATATTTACCCATTTAGCCCCACTTTCCTATTTATTTTTTTCTTTAGAAAGAAAAAAAAAATTTTATACGTATGCCCGTTTTGCCCCCCTCTCACCTATATTTTTTTCTTATCACAGTTTTTCTAAGGATATCAAAATTGAGACAAAAAACGTGTCAAAACGTTGCTTCGCAACTATTCTGATGCGTTTTTTTGTCTCATTTTGATATCCTTAGAAAAACTGTGTTTAGAAAGAAACAAATTAAAATTATTTGAATTATTTTTAAAAAATTGCCTCAATTCAATGATTTTCAATATCTATAGATATTAAAAATCATTGAATTGAGAAAATTATTTTTATTAATTATATTTAAAAAAAATTCAATTATTTAAACGAAATTTTGATAAAATTCTACGCAAAACATTTAATTATTTTTATAAATAATAAAATTCTTCGCAAAAATGTAATTGTTCTGAATGAAATTTTTATAAAACTTCTCTAAAGATTTCAATTACTTTTAAAAGTTTAAATAAAATTTTTTAGAAAAATTTAATTATTTTTGAATGTAATTTTAATTAAATTCTTCGAAAAATTGAAAAACACATAGACATTTTACTAAATTGACTATAATCAAAAAACACGTACATCTTACATATTTAATTATTATTATTATCATAAATTATGTAAAATTTTAAGATAAAGAACTTTATCAACAAATTTTTAAATAATTGAATTTTTTTGACGAATTTTAATAAAATTTTTATTTTTTAAGAAAAATTACATTATTCGAAGAATTTGATTTAAAAAAAAATAAAATTGCAGAATTTCAATTATTTATAATAAAATTTTAATCAAATTCTTCGAATAATGTATAATTATTCTTAAAAAATAAAAATTTTATTAAAAATATTTGAAATTCTGCAATGTAAGTATTATTATTTATGAATATAATTAAATTCTTGTAAAAAATTCGCAAAAAATTATGTATATTCTCAAAAATTTTAATAAAATTCTTGACATAAATGAAAAATAACAAAATTCTTTAAAAATCTCAAATTACTTTCAGAAAATTTAATAAAATATTTTCAAAAATTTAAATACTTTCCTGAAATAATAAAAATCTTTGCAGAAGTTAAATTATTTTGAAAAATATTAATAAGATTCTTGACAAGTATTTAATTATTTTCATAAATATCAAAATTTTTGACAAAATTCAAATATTTTCAGAAGTTTCAACAACAAAAAAAAAATTTTTTAGGAATTCAATTATTTTTAATACAATTTTAAAAAAATTTCTCTATAAGATTTAATTATTTTAAAAATTTTAATAAATTTTTTTTAATAATTGAAAAATTCAATTATTTTTAGGAACTTTAATATATATTAAAATTCATAAAAATAATTGAATTTTTTCGAAGAATTTTATGAAAATTTTAAAAATAATTGAATTTTATCGAGAAATTTTTTTTAATAATTGTATTAAAAATAATTGAATTCCTATGAAAAAGTTTTATTTATATAATATATGTAATAATTGAAAAATTCATTTATTTTTAGGAACTTTGATATATCAAAATTCCTGAAAATAATTGAATTTTTTCGAAGCATTTCATTAAAATTTTAAAAATAATTCAATCTGATAGAGAAATTTTTTTAAAATTGTAGTAAAAATAATAATTGAATTTCTATAAAAATTCTTTTTTGTTGAAACTTCTGAAAATATTTGAATTTCGTCAAAAATTTTGATATTTATGAAAATAATTAAATACTTGTAAAGAATTTTATTAATATTTCCTAAAATAATTGAACTTCTGCAAAAATGTTTATTAATATTTTCCAAAATAATTGAACTGCAAAGATTTTTATTATTTAAGGAAAGTATTTAAATTTTTGCAAATATTTTATTAAATTTTCTGACAGTAATTGAAGATCTTCAAAGAATTTTGTTATTTTTCATTTATGCCAAGAATTTTATTAAAATTATTGAGAATAATTGAATTTCTGCGAATTTTCCACAGGAATTTAATTATTTTCATAAATAATAAAGCTCATCGCAGAATTTCAATTATTTTTAATAAAATTTCTCGAATAATGTAATTATTTTTTAAAATTTTATTAAAATTCGTCGAAAAAATTCAATTATTTAAAAATTTGTTGATAAAGTTCTTCATGAGAATTTAGTTTTGTGAAACATTTAATTATTTAATAAATTGTATTTATTTTTGTATTTAAATAATTGAATTCTCGTAGAATTTTCTAATAAAAATTGATTAAAAATGAATTTCTGTTAAAATTTTTGTTAATAATTGAGTATTGAAATATAGTGCCAATTTTTAGAAATAATTGCATTTTGAAAAGGTTTGAAATTAACATCTATGAAAATCTCAATTTTGCAAACTTTTAACTAACAATTCTGTAGAATTAATTTTTTTGAAATAGTTGAATTCAATTATTTTTTAAATTATTTCAAGTTTTTATATTTTCTAATATATATTTAATTGAAAAATTTGCGAATAATCGAAACTTCGTAAAATAGAATTGAAAATAAATGGATTTGAAAATTCTCAAAGAACTTTTTCAAAAATTAATAAAAATAGTTGATTTAATCAAGAATTTCCGTTATAATTCTAAAATAATGATTTTATCACTCGTTTATCTTTAATTATTTTAAGTTGTTGAATTTCGAAAATTTAAAAATCTTAACTCCCATCGAAAAATAATAAGGATTAAATATTTATTTAAAAAATAAGTTATTGATGTTTTCGAATAATTTTACAATTAAAGAAATTCGTAAATAAATGTAATAGAATATTTTTTTTGAGTATCTAATAATTTTCGGAGTGAATCAGAATATTCTTCAGAGTCAGGGAAAAAGTGAAAATTTTGTCTAGAAATTAGTAAAAAGTCAGGAAAACACAAAATTAAATTTTTCTGGCAATGTTGATATATTTTCCCGTTTTGCCCCACTCTTCGCTATATTTTTTTCTTTAAAGAAAATATATTCTTTTTTCTGTAACTGAAAAAAATCTTTATTAAAAGTTTAATGAGGTAGGAAAAATACGAAAAGTTTCAAGTATAGAAATTTATTTTGAAACTGTCCTTTTTTGTTTTCACTCTATTTATATATGTATATAGAGAGAATAAGAGAATATAACTTTTTTTAAATACTTTTTTTCACAAATTACAACTTTTCTAAAATGCTAAAACAATTTAATGAATTCAAACTGTTCATTTGGGAAGTTTTATTTTTGCGAAAAAGAAGAAATGAACTTGGCTCGTTTCTAGCTCATCACTATTTCACACTTTAAGGAAATTATTAAAGAAGCTATTCGGTTAAATATTGATTAAGCTTGAGTGTATTTTATCGTTCTTTGCTTGGATATTTAACAGGGAAAAGTTTCTGCGAACTTTCTGTGTTATGAGAAATTATATTTCCTTGAATGAGAATATTTTATTTTTGCTTAATTTTTCTTTTCGTTATTTCATTTTCGATGTTTAATTTTTTAATTACATTTGATATAATGTTGGGAATATTATTATAATTTCATTATTATTTACACTATTTTGTTCGTTAAGTAGGTCAAATATAGTTTATTATTATTTGGACCTAAACTAACAGGATCAAGTTCAGTTGATTATTTAACTTCCTGTTAGTTCTTTTCTTACTTTCTTTTATCACATTAGAAAGTGTTTTTTTGGAAATAATAATTCTTCTCTTATTTCTATAATGATTTTTTAAAATTATTTAAATATACGATCTCAGAAGAAAAAAATAAAAAATATTAAATTTATTTTTTTTCAAAAATAGTAAATATAATTTTTTTAAATAATAATCATTCGGCATTGGAGTAAGTTTTCCATGTTTGAAATTAGTGGGGAAAATATCGCTTCCCCAAGGGGATTTAAATTTTCAACTATAGAGCTACTGAATGCAAAGTCAAAAGGAGACACGTTTCCTAATATCAATGATGTAAATTAGGTTAGAGAATTATTATGGTAAATGAATTGAATCTGGAGAGTTTGAGGAGAATTACTAATTCTCAGCGTTGAGAAGGAGAAATGAAGTAAAAAGTGTGTACGCTTCCTTTTTTTACGATGATAAACCACGTTTCAACAGTGTGCAACTTAATTACGTTTCTGCATGTCTGCTTCATTTTTTTTTTGCTCCACTTAAAACATCTTTTTATATATTCATAATCGTGAAACAAAATTTTTTTTTAAATATGAATATGAAAAAGAAATTTTTAACCTATTTACGATAAAAAAAAATTTGTTAACGTATTTATAAAAATGGAAATTTTTAACGTATTTTTGCCAAAAGAAATTTTTAACGTGTTTATGGAAAATTAGTTTAAATCGTTTCTATGGAAATTTCAATCATTTTTAGTAGAAAAAAATATTATAATACTAAAAAGTTAATAATTTCCCCCCTGCTTATAAAATAAGTTCCTATTATTTTCTAACTCTCACGAAATATTCTCTAAGAATGAACAAAATAACGAACCGTCAAAATCGATAATCATCGAAAATGTTTAATTATAATCCAAACAGTTATTATCGACATCGATCAAACATTAATTAATATTTCAACAAGAATTTCGTTCAAGAATAATTAATATCATAATTGCAGATCGATAATACACACAAAGAAATAATATTCCAAAGAGAAATAAAAAAGATTATTAAAGGAAAAAACGAATAAAATACATAACTAAATAACTAAATAAATATTTAATAAATATTTTAAATATTATTTAAATATTATTTAAATAATTAAATATTTTAAATTTTATTTAAATAATTAAATATTTTAAATTTTATTTAAATATTTTAAATATTATTTAAATAATTAAATATTATCTAAATAAATAAATAAATAAAATATAATAACAAATCAATAAAAGTAGATTCTCAATTTAATAAAAGAAAGAAAAC